CTTGCTCTGTAATCAGTCTCTCTCGTTTAAGATCCCTTATGTGTTATGCATGGTTGATAATATTTCATGGCAAGGAAACCTGAACCTTAAAAACATCGTCAATCAAAAGAGGCATTCGACATGTGGTCGCCAACAAGAATGCCCCCAGTTTCATGGGCGGCTCGTGTTCGCAATGAGGAGGTTTTCAAAAAAGCTGGCGCATAGAGAGAGAGAAAGCTTTTTAAAGTAACTAAAAAACGTAAAATTAGCTACCTCGGCCTCAAACTCAGTGGAGCAGAGTACAAAATCCCGCAGATAATCCTACAAGGAAAGATCGAGAGCAAGAGAGGTGTCCGTGGTAAGCAGATTTCCTGGTTGCGTAATAGAAAACATAGGACCGGTATAAATAACACTGGTGAGCTTGGTCACACTGCTATCAATAGAACCTTGTCTTTGCCAACGCACTACGTGTAAGGCGTTTTAAAGAGGAGAAGACAGTCTTAAGGCTCTTTCATGCTGTTTGAGCCTAGTTTGGGCAGTTTTTCGTCCGGTCACTCCAATGTATTCTTCGTCGCCTATGCATGGAGTGCTGTAAGCTCCATGCATAGGCGGCAAAGGTGTATCTGTTAGTATCTCAAACGGAATGTTGTTTTTAACGAATCGATGTTGAGAGATTTTTGGACAAGTTGAAATGCTAATAAATTAGGAAAATGTGAAACTGTTCCACGAGAGAAGTACCATTAATTTCATTTTATAATACAAAGTAGTTTATATATAGCAAAAAGGCTAAATACAAAAATTTACTTAAATAATTACAATTGTCGTTTTTCAATTAATTATGGTTTTTACAACAACAAAATCTGAAAAGATAACTAATTTTGGATACGTTCAATTTAATGTCATCATTTTATTTACATTTGAGAAAACAACATATTTAATACAATACGCTTTCGTGAAAAGTTTCCCAATATGACTGTGACAAAAAGATAATTGCGAAAATTGTTTAAAAAATATTTTCGGTGGCGAATGTAAAGAAATCAAAGAAAAAAAGAAGAAATATGATAAAAATGACCCAGGTTATTAGTAGGGAAAGTATAAAATGCAAAATGCGTTAATAGCATTAATGATAATAGCATTAAATTTGTCCAGCCCTTTTCGGCACAGCACACAGCAAAAGATTCTTTGATAAATTAATGATTTGCAATTGCAATTGAATTCGATAATTTAAAGGGTAGTACCTTTAACGTCGCTAACTTGAAACGTTCTTGTGTGTCTTGTTTTTTAAGCAGAATGTGTCTGTGTCTGTCCGTCCAGTGTTTTTTAAAATGCCATAAGCTAACTTCCATAGGCCGTGGATAAAGAGGTATCGGAATCTCACTTGAGTGGCAGCCATTTTTTTTGTAAAGCTTTATAGTAAAAAAAGAAAAATATAAGTTTTTTGGCATACTAAAAAATTTTGGCTTATATAAATCATTTATTCAAGCACATTATAGGGAGTATAAAGTATTTATAAATGATTTACTGAAGCAAATTATTTGTTGCTAATTTTAACAATTTTAATGTATCGACTCAAACATTTTATTTGGTAGAAGATTTTTTAGAATTAGTTTTTCTATCGATTTACACATTCATGCAGATAATAAATTTATCGTGGATCAGCATGTCAAATCAGTAAAACACCAGCTCAAAGGGCGGAAATTGCAATTAGAGAAACCCTCTCAACAAACAATACATCATTCTCTTACAGAAAAATCGAAAAATATTTTATACCGTCTGGACGACGATAAACTTGCAGTCAAAAATTAGTTGGACTATGATATCGGTCCTATTATCATAAGTGACATTAACGTATGAATTAAACACTTGACCTACATAAAATACGTCCAAATGGTAGCTAAATCCAATATCGAAATAGGTACAGGTGTGAGCATAATGTCCAATGCCTAAAATATTGTAAAGGATTATATATGATCAACTTAATAATCATGTTGCTGATTCTAATATTTCGCCTGCCACCCAGTTGTGTGTGATACTTCTTTGAGTTTGTTGGATTTGGGGCTTTGATACCTTAAATCATAATCGTTTTGGAATATCGCCGGCAGAGGGTTACGTTGGGATCAGTGGTGTCTGACTTTGGACCAATTTTATGGGGAGTATCTCAGGGCAGCATTTTAGGACCTTTTTTTTGTTCTCGATTTGCGCATCTGACTTCTCTAAGGACTTAAATCTGTCATCAGTCTGCTGATGATATACAGATATACTTGTCATTCTCGGTCAAAGGTATAGCTTTGGCTTTCGACGAAATAACCGAGAATCCTGAAGTAATTTCTAGAATATCAAAACTCCAAGGTCCGATATTAAATAATTCCAAGACGCAAGTTGTTTTTGTGGTAATAAAAGAAATGGAAATTTCCAAGCATAAAAATTTGTAACTTCCCTCAAGTGTGTGACTTTCTCTCTCTCTCTCTCCCTCTCCCTCTCTCTAACTATCTCTCTCTCCCTCCCTCCTTCTCTCCGCCTCCCCTTCTCTCCCTCTCTCTATCCTTCTCTCCGCCTCCCCTTCTCTCCCTCTCTCTCTCCTTCTCTCTCCTTCCCTCCCTCTACCTCTATATAACTCCCTCCCTTAAACCCTCCCCCTCCCTCTCTCCCTCTCCCCCCACCCCTCTCACTCTCACTCTCTCTCTCTCACATACTCCCTCTATTGGGATATGCGGATGTTGTATACTGACCTGCTCTAATAAGACTGAATATTATCCTTACTTTTTCCAAGTTTCTATTATGCTCCTAGACCTCGCTATCTGTGTCACTTCTAGTGTGGTATATTTTCTTTTGTGGTATTTTAATAAAAGCTCTTTATTATTATTATTATAAATATTAAATAATAAATAAAAATTACTGCTAATTTTGATATGAATTTACCAAGTATGTTCTGTTTTTTAATGCGAGGGATTTACGAGTCACTATTGTACCGTAAAACTAAAGTTGTCTTACGATATTCCCAAGCATAGCACCGCTGCGTTTCAGAGCTCTTTCACATATAACGCTATTAAAACTTACAACTAACTTGCATTGGATATTGTTGCCTGTTCATCAACTTCTACATTCAAAAATGAATTAAAAGAGAGGGTGAGATTAAGGAGATGCGGAACCTCTTAAATTCTTAAAATTCTTAAATTTCTTCTATTGCTTTTCTTTTGATTATTACGCCTTGCTTTTTTCCAGAGTCTGTTTCTTTTTTCATTTTTTTTTCTTTTCTGTAAAGGAGAACATACTTGCGTGGTTTTAATTAAATCAAATCTAAGGTCTTAAACGTAGTTGAATTAGTTTTGGATTGGAAAATTGTTAAAGAAATAATATGAAAACAAAATATACATTTCGGACGACACACACATAGTGTATGGGCTAAAAAAAAGTTGTTTTTTAGGAATATGAATTTTGTATATTCATCGCCCTTTGAGGTGAATTTAAGTGCTGCTATTTATATTTGTTAGCTTTTTTATTCTTTTTTTTTTGTTAAATTCTGCATATTTTGGGATGTACTTACTATATTGCATCGGTGGTCAGGTGAAGTAGCGCTGCTAGACCTGACCACCTTCTATTATGGTATATTCTTTTGTTGTATTTTAGTAAGGCCTATTTATTGCTATTATTATTAATATTATTATTCAGAGGGACACGAAAAAAATCTATGAAGAGGCGGCCATTTCTGCGAACGAGTATCAGCCCCATCCACTCAAAAACGAAAAGGATCGCTGGCAAGTTGTGAAAATTAGCGGCTCTCATAATTCAACCGGGAATGCCTTCAACGAGTTGAACGGGTACCCCATGTGCGGGCACGAAGCACAAAAGTTTATTGTCATTTTGTCCGCGGACATTAAAGTTGCAAGATTTAAAGTGGCTGGCATGATATAAACTTTTGAATAGCTCCCCCGCTTTACTAGCAATAAGCGATAAAAATGAAATATTGAAATTGCAACGGAGAAATTTCCTCCTCTTAAAGTTCTGTTCACGTAGATTTTATGGCGAGCTTAGGTATTTAAATCGGATTTTCGGCTTTCCATCAAACGTAATGTTCCAATTAGGCTGAAACGGAAGTATTTTTATTGATGGCCGGTTGTCTGTCAATGCCGTAGAATTTTCGAGGTTAGCTTCTGTCTCAGCTCTAAAAATTCCGATTTAACCGAGCATGAGCTGCAATTCATCGAGAAGTATAACTTTCATGATAAAATTACGAAGTTAAGGCCGCACCCTGTAGGTAGGGAGCAAATATGTACGGAAAAAGATTGATTCACTGAATTCATGCAATTGATCATTAGTTTTAGATGGTGGTGACGTACTACAATAACATCTAGGTGTTTGAGAAGAACATTCCATGCACAGTTTACTTGGGCGGTTTCAAATGACTAACACGTGATAGCAGTTAATCTGTTTTGCGATTACAACTTCAGAACCACTACATATGAGACAACAAAATTTGGTGTGTGTCTTATTCAATGGAAATCGAAATACAGGAACCAAGGGCGGAATTTTAAAATTTAAACTTCTTCTATTAAAAATGCTGATTTATAACCTTAATTCAAAGGCCCTATTCACATAGATTTGCTATATTAACCCATTTTGTCCCAGTGGTGCGTTAATGCACCATCTATTCTATGATTTTTTTGTCACATCCAGGAAATATTTTTGCACATCCATTTAGAAATTTTATTATTATCAGTACTAAAGGACACGGAACGGTAGAAATCGCTAATTTATGTGTGAAGGAAAGATCAAAGTCAAAATAGTAAAAAAAAATATTTTGGATTTATATTGCCATTTTTGTTAAGTCTATGGCATGTAGATTACATCGCAGAAAACATACATTGGAAATACTATATTGATTATGCTTTATTTTTTGAAAATATTTACTGGTGCGCGAATGCACCACTGGTTTTATCAGTAAAACAAAACGTTGTTATTGCGTGTAGCGCATGTAGAATAAACATCCAACAATTAGCGTGTTCTTTAGTATTAGTTTGTGCCTTGTGCAGTGAACGTTACAGTTCGTAAAACATGACATTTCCGAGGTACTTGACTCAAAAAGAATTAGAGGCGGCTGTGGACGAGATCGTGATGGATGAGGACAATAACAATGAAAGCCGTAAGTTTTATTTGGATTTACGTATTCTTATGTATTGTAGCATTCCGTTCCTTGTAAATTTATGCTAAAAATAACGTGAAAAAATATTTACAGAACATATTGACGCGGTCTATATTCCACCCGAAGTTGATACCTTGACTGACGAAGAAGATATCAACGATAACATAAATCTACAAGAGTTTGGGGAACCAACTGATATAGTTAGAACTTTCGAGTTACATACACCGAATGATACAGCTGTCCTTCAACAGTCCTGTAATTCATCAACTACTGAACCTGAATGGGATGATGAAACCCTGGAATTCAAAAGAACTTTCTTCAAACGACAGACTGTCAAATGAAAAAAGGTCGGATTTAGTACACTCACACACCTATATCCGATGAATTTAGATCGTGGGAGGAACTAAAAAATAGGCTTTCTGGAAAAACTCGGCTTGAAAGATTTTTTATGATTTTAAATGACGAAGTGATTGATTTGATTTTAAATCTTACATTGCTGTGAGACTTTTAAAAACTGATAAAACAAATACTGAAAGAAATCTTGCACCTGCCACAGATGAAGTGCGTTATGATAATAAAGGTCACCGCATGATTGCACATGCTAATAAAGCCCGAAGGAGATGTAGAATCTGCCACAGCCATACAATTTACGTTTGTAATAAGTGTAATGTGCATTTACATACTTCCTGCTTTGTAAAATTTCACTAAAAGTATAACCGGGTGTCACCAGTGGTGCGCTCAAGCACCATAAAATATTATGCGATTTTTTGTATCAAATCAGGTTCTATTTGGAAAACAATCCATTTCTAGTTCTTTTAGTTTGTATATTTATGTATAAATTATATGTTACATCTTATGTGCCTACGCACCAATATTTTTTTGTATGTTTCAAGTTTTTATTTTTTTTATTACATGTAAGGTATTTTTAAGTGCAACAAAATAAATAATATCAGAGCAAAAAAGTATTTTTTTATGCTTTGGATAATATGGGTTAAAAAAATAGCAAGTCTGTTACTAAATTACTGGTATTGTTCAAGGCGACCACCCGTTCATGTAGATTTTTCCATACTGTGAATTTCCCCTAAATAACTTTAAGTATTTTAAGTAGACGCCTTTTAAACAGAAAAAAACTTAATTGTGGTTTAAAATTAATAAATAATCATTTTTATCTCAATTCCGTATTTCTGTTTCGTACGAATCACAGATCCATCGGCTGATTCAGTAAGACTTGATCACCAAATTTTTGTATTTTGGCAGTGAAACCTTCTCACATTTTATATTTTTTGTGGTGTGGTTTTAACATATTTTTCCATTCGCACTTTAAAATGGAGGTTTCCTTTGAGACTTTAAAGTTGCCCCCCAATATTTCATTTACAAATTTTTTGTCTAATGAATTCTGGAATTCTCGGGATATTCAACCGCTTTCATACTTTCCTGCCACTCCAGCACCAAATTTGTATTCTTGACATTTTTTTCGGAGATGTTTTGTCTAGTTTAGCTTGTTTATTTTTTACGAATATACATTGATTATTATTAGATGCATTTATAGCAATTAAAATAAATGTAAGAATGTAAATTGAGTGAATAGCCAGATAAATAAATAATATGAAATTTTATTAATTTATTGCTATTGTGCCTAAACATAAAACATTAATAAATTAAACACTGATGAAAGTATATAGTTATTTTAAAACTCATAAAAAATTAAAAATGTCTTCCACTTCTAATTTCATTTTTGTCTGAAACAGTTTTATTTGGTTTTTTTATGTGCAGCATTTTTAACTGAGGTAATTTCAAGTTACAACGTTGACTAGTCAGTTTATTCCTAAAAAAATGTAAATCATAACCTAAAAATATCAAATATATTCAACATTAAAAATTAAAATGCTGACTCGATTTAGAATAATAATGTTAAAAAACACAAGAGAAAATATAGGCAACCTCATATCAACAAAAACCACACTACTCTATCCGACGTCAAGATAAGCTTCCTTCGATTCAGACTGGTGATACTGCCTTCTGATTGGTTCGGCACTGTTTGCCACTATAACAGCAATTTACAAAGATATTTTTTCAAAGGTGCTAGACAAGAAATGATTCCCTCCCGATTAAAATCCCGATAACATTTCCTTCTCTAAAAAAGGGAAGAAAATGTGAACATAAACGAAAAAACACACGAGAAAAGGAAATATAGTTGAAACGAAGAATAGTTATTCCCTTTTATTAAATTATTCCCTTTTTTCTATTTCATTTTTTTTAACTAACCTTCTCATATGATATGATAATATGTTACAAATGCTGTTGTTCACTGCAATGATCAGTTTTAGTTTTATAAGTTTGGAAAATTCCTTGCCTTTGTAATTTTTTTAATTATTTGGTATTTCATTCCACATTTTGATAGCTACAAATTTAAAGGATTTTTCGATATATAGACTGTACCTGGGTACTTCAAAAACTTGAGATAACAATTTAAACTCTTCAAAAAGGTGCTCTGGCTTAAAGCTCTTTAACAATTTGTGCATATGATACTTACGTCGATTATTCGTAATTAAAATTTTGTGATGATTTAAACGTGGAGTGAAGTGGTTTTGAAGTGGTATTCCCTACGAAAGCCTCCTACAGCAATTTTGCAGCCTTGCGTCCTTTTTATCGGATGCTATATTACCATAATCAAAAGAAGATAAACACATATCAACACTCATATAGAACAATTTCTTTAATACAATTTATAACTTTTAACTCTAACTTTAAAAAGATGGGGAACTCACTACCCAGATTTTTTGCTGGAAAAAGTTTTGTTATTAATCTGAACTTTTAAATTGCACTATGTATTTAATTTAACTTTTAATGTTAATTTTTAACATGCTGGGTTAAAAAGTACAAATGGATGATGAAGTCCAAGGAGTTTTACATACACTTAATTTTTGGTTGCGCTTCCTTAAAAATAAGATAATAACTATAACCCTCTATACTACCCTCTTACCCTATTATATAAACCAACATAACGTAATGCAGTTCAGTCCCCGCCCAACAAATCTAACAAAATAATAAAAACAAAATATACCACAGTTCAAAACAACACACAATAAAGTTCCCTATTTTCAAATATATATTTACGAGTTTCATTTTTAAATCTACCTATTTTATTTATCAGTCTTATTTTTAATGGAGTGCTATTGTATAATATATTCCGCAAATATTGAAAATTGTTTTTATAGAATTCACTTCTAGGCATCGGTACATGTACTTGTCTATTCATTATTGTTCTAGTGGTACACAGACGATTATTATATCAACAAACCATATAAATGTATAACGATCGAATATCACAATCCTTTTCTCTATAGAGAAGATTTGTTGGATATAAGTGATGTATTTTGTAAATCACTTTAAGAATGGTCTCAACGCAGTACGCAGTACGCCCCCCCAGGACTATTATCTCAACAGAAGTTGATCAGTTAGACATTCCCTTATTAAAAATATTAAATACCTTTGCTTTTTTGTTAAGAAGTTAATGTGACTCTCCCACACAAATTTGTACCAATATAAATAGCCCAGTATTTTACACACGTTTACTTTCAAAATTAGGACGATAAACAATAGTTTTTGAAAAATCCATATAATCTAACCTTTCTTTCACCCTTTGAAGTTCGCCGGTTGCCCGGGCTCGCGCCCCATCTCAGCTATCACTAATAAAGAGCAAAACAGTATGATTGGTTTTATGACTTTATGTTTAACGATGTTAGTCCCTTATTGCACAGATTGAAGCGTGTCGGTCCCAGTACTGTGCCTTGCGGTATTCCTATATGTATAATTTCAGGTTCGCTTATTGTATCTTGCACCCTGCTTGCCAAGTAGCTTTTAAAAACCCTCAACACAGTACCTCGAATTCCGTTGCGTTGAAGAACATCCAATAATTTCATTTGCGGCACTGCGTCGAACGCATTGGCCAAGTCCAGAAACACAGATATATTTTTCTTATTGATCTCATCAGTCACATAAGACACTAGCTCCCGCATTGCATCGCTGTGAATCCAAATTGGTTTTCTGAAAGGAGGTTATTCATTTTTAAAAACTTAGTAAGTTGTTCGTTCAAACATTTTTCGAAAATTTTCGCAATGTTGCTTATCAAACTGATGGGTCTGTAATTTTTAACCAATTTGGGATCACCCGCCTTAAATATTGGTGTCATCATTGACACTTTAAATTGGGTTGGCACATCTCCAGTAGTGAATATGAAATTAATAATGTCTAATGTACAAATAAATTATTAATCTCTGGATATTATGCCATCACAGCCGGGGGCACCAGCGGATTTTAATCTGTGAATATGTTTCACAAGGTCATTGTCACTCACTGCCTCCAGATACATTGTCCTGCGAATCCCTGAAAAATCAAACTCCAAACTATAATGAAATGCAATATTTTTGTTCATTTGACCCCTATACTTGCATAGTACTGGTTACAGAAGTTGGCCATGCTAATATCCTTATCGAAACTCTCATTATTGTGGTTTACAATTTGAAAATTGATTTTTGACTATCTTCATTAGAAGCATCTGAAACTAATTGATATATTTTCCTAAGATTATTCTTGTTTTCTTCTATTTTATGCTTATAATAATTATTCTCAACATTAGACAAAAGAGCTTTAAGTTTATCTCTGTAGTTCTTAGATTGATTCTCTTTAGCAATGCTGTTAATTTTCTGAAGTTGTTTTTTAGTTTGCCTCGAGTTTTATAAGAGTTAATCATGGCATTAGTAATCCAAGTCTTCAAGTTATTACGTTCTTTTCTTTTCTTACGTGTTCTCTTACGTTTTTGTTTTTGTCTATTACCTTAGTTATGACTTATCGGGGTTAAGTTTTAGATGGTGCAAAATATGTTTAGTTTTTGCAGATCGTAGTTTAGCCCTTCTTGCCTTTGTTAAACTCAACTCATTATCGTCCGCATAGTGTCCAAACTTTGGATATTTCACGCCATCTTTCATATTCGCGACGTACATTTAGAAAATAAATGTATAAAACCGAGGTCTGTGGCACACCTAAGGGGTGTTTTTTTTTCGATGTATAGAACTTTAAGTTGCAATAAAACAACGATGGATTATTCGATTGACATGAATTTTATTTATCCGAAAGATAATCTTGTGGCATTACATTTTAAATATGATTTCTGGCATATCACCGCCACGGCTGGCGCGGATGTAGTCCAATCTGGAATTTTCGATGACTTTTTCCAACATTTGTGGCTGTATATCGGCAATAACACGGCGAATGTTGTCTTCCAAATGGTCAAGCGTTTGTGGCTTATCCGCATAGGCCAATGACTTTACATCGCCCCACA